TTATTCATAAACCTATAGAAGCATTGATCAATCTTATGAGTAATTAAAAGTTTGTTTATGCGGGAACACTGAAATAAAACAAATTTGCATTATAAAATTAATTTCCTCTTATTTAAAATAAGTAAACAATTGTTAGACGAAATACTGGAGCTTGGAGGAATACTTTCTCGATACAAGTAGATAATTTCTCAGTAAAAATCTCGATAATATCGACGTCAGAGACGCGAATGACTAAAGTGTATTTTTTATGCATCATCTTAAACTTTTTTACGACCCCATTGCATAAAGTAAGGGAACATGCTGGCTATTTGATGAATCGAATCGCTCATTCTATGAACAACTATAAACTTACCATTTCCCGGATATTAAATCCTCTTTTTACCAACAAAGAATATTATGAAAGAAGTTTTCATTCAAGAAACTCAACTTTCTCATCAAAGCTCCAAGATGTTGAGATTACTACATATGAACTGGGAGGTGAGATTTACACCGATATGGACAAGTGAATATTCTCTTCTTAGGTTGAGTATGAATAACCTTATTTATTTTAGGGAAACTGGTACTTACAGTGACTAAGAGTTGGGGAATATTTTTGAAGAAACTCTGCTTATTTACGAAAAATGTAATTAAACTAAATTTGTATTCTTAGCTGTTCTTGATAACGATGTCCACCATACAAGCTATTGCCGAAAATGTACTCCATTGTAGTAAAATGTCATTAATTATCACTAAATGAAGGAGGAATACCATGAATCTATGGACAATTTGTGGCAACTGGATGAGCTTTAAACAATTAATATTACACGAAGCTTTAGTTCACCGGGCATGCTTAACCAGCATTTTCGCCATTCTTATCAGAGAAGGAAATTGATTTCAACTTGGCTTCTTCTAATTAATGCGACTCGAATACTTGAGATGCGAGTCTACACAGAAGCATGACCGTATCGTTGTAGTGAATATATATTTTTGCTGTTAAGCTTGCCATTATTACAATACGCTTACACTACCATTACGGCAAGAGTAATACGAACTCACAACTTAGATGATCGTGGCCTATAGGATAGCCACACCAACATTCAGTTGATGCCGTAACTGAATAAATGTAAGTGACTTTTCACGCAAAATATAATTTAAAGGTAGTCATTAGCCGTTTTTGGCGGAGGTTAAGGGAAGATATTACATTTGACAATATAAAGAAGACTCACTTGTTGGCGTCTCGGTCTCTTTTTCACTTCGACATGGCCGATTCCGGCCTCCGGTGTCATATTCGATGCCGAATTGGCGGGAAGAAGACCGGCTTGCCCATCAGCAAAGACGACTCGAGCAAAGCCAGACGCCGGGCCGAGCATATTCTCGCCAGCCGCAGCGGGACCAGCCGAGATGGAAACGGAGCTGGAAGTGGAGGTGGAGACAGACGAAGACACGGCAAGACCACTTCCACGCTTGCAGGCTGTCTGACCCGGTGGTACCGTTGATGCGGCGCCTCTTCCGGTCGGTCGAATCGCCGAAAAGGTCAGACGTTGCGCCCAACCGTTGTCGCCACGCGGCGGTCCACTGAGGCTGGACGCCACTCGCGGCACCTCCAGGCCCTCGAGGGCACAATTAAGACCACCACCCGGCGTCCATCGTTGTCTGGCTCGTGTGCTCACTGTCATTGGGCTCGAGTGCGCTTCTTGCCCCAACAGGGGGCATGGCAACTGGTGGCCGACGTAGGCTTCGGGCACGGGGGCTGTAGGACGGTTTTTGAAATCCCCATAGGCCAGGTCAACGACTCCGCGAGAATACTCGCTCTCCAGGCAGTCGGAGAATGCTTGGCGAGGGTTGGGAGATTGCCCAGTGGGGCAGAGCAGTGTGGCCGTCGCGAGGTGACATGACGACGCCTGAGCCGTCGACATGGATGTGGACGTCGGTGCCGACGTTAACTTCGACGTAGACGTAGACGTGGACGTGGACGTGGATATGGACGTCGACGTGGAGGCGGGTGTGAAGCGTGTATCTGCGAACGAGGCCGAGTGTGTTTGCGTCATGCACAACGAACTGTGCTCCCGTTTGCCGGCGTTCGAAGCAACCAACGAGGCCGACAGCCCACGTCGTGTGTAGGCTACCGCCGCCGAGGCAGCTCGTCGTGAAGGTCTGCACTGGAAGCTGCGTGTACACTCAGCGACTGAGGCGAACTGCTGACCGCCCGGTTGCCCACGAGTCGACACCACCCGCCGTTTGCCCGGCGCCAGATCGAAAGTCGCCCTCGCCGTTGACGCATTCGAGGCTGCCGCCACAGCC